TTTTATTTTAATTTTGTATTGCTTATTTATTTAGTTTATTATTATTTTTACATTTGTTACCCTGTCCACAGACCCTATTTTGAAAACCCCTGGTCCAAACAATTACAGTAAAGGGAATACACACTTCTGGATTTTTTTGCTGTAGTTAGTTTAACAGAACTATCGGGGTATTCAGTTGTATTTACTCTAGATAGTGGGTTTGATCTTGTGATGCTCCTTGTAGTCTATCTCCTCCAGAACAGCAGAATAAGAGTTTACAGCGCAGAAATGTCATTAAGTCCTGATCATTAAAGTCTGTTCAGTTTAGAATTGATGCTTGATGGCTTTGTGTGCCGTTTTTCAGACTATGAGGACAAGCCCCTGGATAAACCGCTGAAGCTGGTGCTCAAGGTGGGCGGCAGTGAAGTGACCGAGCTCTCCGGATCCGGCCACGACTCCAGTTACTATGACGACCGCTCTGACCACGAGTGGGAGCGGCACAGAGAGAAGAAAAAGAAGAAGAAGAAGAAATCGGAGAAGGAGAAATATGTAGATGATGAGGACAGGAGGAGGAGGAAGGTGAGTGAAAAGAGCGACTCTTAAACACTCAGAAGTCAATCATCACTGTTACTAAGCTCATGTGTGGACATGAGTGATTCCTCTAATCATGTAGCCTGTATTGTGCACATTATGAGAATATTCAGCATGCATGGATGACCTTTCCAGTGAACCAGAAGTGATACTTCAGCCTTTTTCTTCCCTTATAATTTGATCAGACTGCCAGAAGGTGTCATTTTTACACAAAATGCGATTCAAAATGCAAAGTAACTAATTTCAAGAGGATAACTGGATGCTACTCGCTGAATTAAATGTGCAACATGATGGAGTTGTATGACAACAACGTTTGGAACATTTATTTCACCAGGTTTATTGGAGTTAACTAAAATTAAACTTACTTTAAATAAAATAAACATTAGCTGAAATTAAATTGAAATGGAAATAAACTATATAAAAAGCAACATTTTTCATTTGCATTTAGTTTAACTTGATGTACTAAAAAAGATAGAAAAGAAAATGAAATAAAAATTATATAAACTATATAGTTGGATAAAAAAAGACAAACACACAACAAAAATTACTAAAACTTTAATTAAAATTAAAATGAAAGCAGAAAATACAAAAATAAAGAATAATTCAACATATTAAAAAGAAAAAAAAAATATATATATATATAATTTTTTTTTTTTTCCATATATTTTGAATAATTTTTTTGTTTTGTATGTATATACACTACCGGTCAAAAGTTTGGGATCAGAACGATTTTTAATGTTTTTTAAAGGAGTTTCTTCTGCTCATCAAGACTGCATTTATTTGATCAAAAATACAGGAACAAATTTAATATTGTGAAATATTATTATGATGTAAAATAACGTTTTTCTAGTTTAATATACTTTAAAATATAATTTATTTCTGTGATGCAAAGTTGAATTTTCAGCATCATTACTCCAGTCTTCAGTGTCACATGATCTTCAGAAATCATTCTAATATGCGGATTTATTATTATAATTAATCAACAGTTGTGCTGCTTCATATTTGTTTGGAACATGTGATACCTTTTTTCAGGACTCTTTGATGAATAAAAAGTTAAAAAGAAGAGCATTTATTTAAATTAGAAATCTTTTCTAACAATATACACTACAGTTCAGAAGTCTGGGGTCAGTACATTTTTATTCTTTCTTTTTTTGAAAGAAATTAAAACTTTTATTCAGCAAGGATGTGTTAAATTGATAAGAAGTGACAGCTATATGTTTAAAAATCATATTTACATTGCTGGTAGGTTATCATTGCACAAAATAACACACTCTCTACGTTTAAAAAAAATAAAATAAAAATGAGAAGAGTTCTAAACTAATGTGCTGTCTTCTGTATCTAACGCGCACACACGCTCAGTCACTCACACAGATCACGCTGCGGCCGCACTCAGACATCCAAGAACAAACTTTTTAGGGCTGCCCTGCAGTTTTATCAACTAAATTGCTTAATCGCTCAAGAGCTACTCTGAGAATAGAGTATTGAAGTGGAGATCGCTAAACTGCAAGCTAAAACTAAAATCGGTGTTTTCAGAAAGCAAGCGCGTTTATCCACAGTGGAGAGAGAGTGTGTGCACATGGTTGCCAGGTTGACAAAGATAAGTAGCACACTTAGCAGATATTTCCGTATTGCGCAAGTGTAAAGCTCTGTTTTGGGGATTACGTCTCTTTATATCAGGCAACCCAGTTGTGTTCCTCTGCGGCCAGATTAAACCTTGTTATAGCCTATATATTATGCTCTATTCATTATTTTTTAGAAACCTCGCACTTTTCTGCTCAATTTTAACGTTGTTCTTGCATTCAAGTTAAGCGCGGTCCACTGCTGCACACGTGCCACAGTATCGATACAGGGACAGCTCGTATCGTCAAATCTCTGTGACGATACATCGTCGTATCGTCGTATCGAACACAGCACTAGAAGAGATTTCTTTAAAAAACATTACAAGTCTTAATGATCCATATATATAATAGTATCTAAATGATACCAAAATAACACTGGATTACACACTCAAAAACCACTCACATTTTCTTTAGAAAATGTAAAAAAATTAATAAATAAATAAAAAAAGTAGTTACTTACTGCTCATCTGACAAATGCTGTGTGTATTTGATCCAGGAGGAGAAAAAGAAGAAGCGTGAGAGAGAGCAGTCAGAAAACGCTTGCAGTGCACCAGTGGAGCCCTTCACCCTGCCGAAGCCCGTGGAGGTAAAGCCTGTGTGATGGGGATCCAGAGCTTAGTTCGGTAGCTGAGAGCTGTTACTGAAGGAACGTTGTGCCACAGGTGCTTCCAGAGGAGAAGAAGAGGAAGCGGGACAAATTCGAATCGGAATCAGAAGCAGAAGAATTTCATCCTGGAGTGAAAGTAGAAGTGGAGCAGCAGGCGGATCGGCCCGTACGAGCCTGTCGAACTCAGCAAGGTACAACTGCATACCTAGGCCTGTCGCAATAATCAATATTAGGGCTGCCACTAACGACTATTTTTATTTCGATTAATTTATCGATTAATCTACACGATTAATTTCCCACAAACAATCAACGATTTTACTTAAGAATATTTTATTAAACTATATTTGATTAAACCAGATGAAATCCAAATGTCTATGAAATCCTTTTTTTAAAGCAAAAGTAAAGTGCAACATAGAGTGCAAGAAGCAAGTGTCCATCTCACAGTCCAAATCACTGAAATCAGAGTTCAGTTTTATAGTGTAAGAATGACAACACATCCACGTGTTCTGGTCTACGAACCATTAAAATGGAATCCAGAAAATAATGGAAAACAGAATTTGGTAAAGATAAAACTGTAAAACTCAATTAATCAGACAGGCTTTTTGATTAATAAAATTGTATTTAACCATTAAAACAGAGTATAGAAAAATTTAAAATGGATAAAAACTGAATTTGGAAATAAAACGGATTTCATAGGGCCCTATCATTATAATTAATTTTTTTGTGGTAATAAAAATAGATGTAAGTAAACAATAGCCTTTAAAATTACTTTAAATACATATATAATAGCAATGAGGCATTGATAATTAGTTCAAATAAAGTATCAAAAGCAAGAAATCATATGGTTTTAAATGGGTTTAATATATCATGCAGCCTTGGAAAACAGTCTAATAATGTGTTTTATGGATTCTCGTTCTTGAAATGCGCCACTTTCGGTATTTTGCCGGTTAGTCGACGCGAGCGAAATGAAGTCGAGGATTTTTGAAAAACGAATAGTCGAATAAAATCGACGAATCGCGGCAGCCCTAATCAATATATCGACTTATCGCGCAATATATAGTGGGTCAAAGACGTTGAGATGTCCGCATCAAAAGAAATTTACAAAAGTGATTATATGTCCATAGAAAGCACATTAAATGTAAGTAAAGTGTCTACTTTTAAGGTTTCAAATAAGTTTTTGGAGAATAAAATGTCAACATTTGGTTGAAATAATGTTACATTGTCATTCAGTGTAACACAACATTTATGTAAAAATTCAAACAACATGCTTATTCTGACGTGTACATATTAAAATATATGAAAGAACAAGGGAGCATATTACATTTTATTGTGTTTTAAACGAGTAAAAAATTCTTACTGACAAATGGGCAAAACCTAGGATAGAGGCACATTTTAAAAATGTTAAATTACAGCTAATTAGTATTTGGGGTGAAAGTAATTAGTCTTTTAATATGTCATAAATTGATTTTTGTTGTAAATATGCCTGACAAGATTGTTACACTGAATGACATTTTAGTGGGTCTCTTCTGTAAATCAGGGGAAAATGTATATTTATTTTTTGCTCAGAAAAACAAAATTGCAATTAAATTAAACTGAAAACTTTTTAATTTGGGTGGGGGGGGCAACAATAATTTAAAGCAGTATTACACTTAGTGTTTTTATGCTTAAACCCTTTTTTGTCTTTGACCCATGTAAAATGCATCCATTTTGAACAAAGCAAACTAACATTATTCACTTCAAGTTTCAAATTCAAATTAATAGGTAACACTTTACAATAAGGTCCCGTTAGTTCGTTAATTAATGCATTAACTAACAAGTACCAATACATTTTGTTACAGTATTTATTATCTTTGTTACAAATAAATACACTTAATAAAACTCGAGTGTTCATTGTTAGTTCATGCACATTAAATATAGATTTTAATAATGTACTAGTAAATGTCGAAATTAAAATAAACTAAGATTAATAAATGCTTTAGAAATACTCATTCATTTTAACTAATGCAGTCGACTAATGTTAAAAAATAAAACTGTATTGTAGTGTTACCATGAAAATAAATATTGAAAATAAAATTCTAATCGTTAAATCATATATTTAGTTAAAATATAAGTATTTTTTTAGCTCCGTTTTGAACAAAGTGTTCTAAAATCTACTCCGGGTTCCAGTTCCTTAAATTCAAATAAATTTTAGAATTCTGCAGCTTCAGATTCAAATTCATTAATTAAACTGGTTTAAAAGACAGTTCAGCTCTGAGTGATGCACAGTCCTGGTATCAATCAAAACAAAGCAATAATCACTAACCTTTTGGCTTTTCCCAGAAAACGAATCCACCCCTCGCCAGCAGCTCTTGGAGCATTTCTTGCGCTTGCTTCAGAGGTAACACCCTGTTAAATTAGATGGCATTGTAATTCTAATCTTTCCTCATATCTGCATTATATAAGGACAGTCTTTCTGTCTCGACAGGAAAGATCCACACGGATTCTTCGCCTTCCCAGTGACAGACGCCATTGCTCCAGGATACTCCATGATAATCAAACATCCCATGGACTTCAGCACAATGAAGGACAAAATCGACGCAAACGAATACAAAACTATCACAGAATTCAAGGCACGCAAGTGTCCTGCTGTTTTATCTCCATTTATCTTCATTTTCAGATTCTTTGTTAACTACTGATACATTTTCGGCTTTACTGAAATGACGTGTAACTATAAAAGTGTAACTGTTTTGTTTCTGGTGTGTGACTCTCCAGGCAGACTTCAAGCTGATGTGTGACAACGCCATGGTTTATAACCGACCGGAGACGGTTTACTACAAAGCTGCCAAGAAGCTTCTCCACACAGGATTCAAAATGATGAGCAAAGTAACATTTTTAATGCAGTTTGGTTTTGGTTATTTTTTGCCTTTGTTGTTCATCCGTGCCATCATTCCCATTTGATTCAGATACGTGCGGTTATAATAATCGGAAAAACATGTTTGTTGCTTGAAACAATATAAATGTTGACTTTAATAAAATATAATATATAAAAAAAAAAACTTAAACTTATTTTATTTCAGCTAGCTGCCATGTCAACAATTCTTAGTTTTGTTTAGTTGAAAATATTCAACTTGAAATACTAAAAAAGCTACTAAAAAAAAAAAAGTTTAATAAATACAAATTAATAAAAACTGTATAGATATGTTGAAAAAAATAAAAATAACACTCAACAAAATCACTAAACTTTTACTAAAATTTAAGTGAAAACAGAAAGTATAAAATAAAATCAAAATATTAACAAAAACTATTACAGAACTAGTGAAAATGCTTCTCCTTTTTGTGTAATTTTTTATTTTTTTTTATTAAATACAATATTTTTCATTACAAATTATATGATTATGGTTCATAAATGGAAGCAAGAACATCTGATTTTTCAGGATTCCCATTGTCGGAAATGTTAGGGAATTTAAAATTGTGATTGCAAAGCCTGGAAATTTCATGGACAAAATTAATACAATTAAAAATGAATAAAATCTTAAAAAGTGATGGAAAAGTCTATTACATATATTAAAAATTTGTATGTAATATATAATTATATTATAATAACTATTGCAAAAATGTGATAATATATTATGTATGCATATTAATATAATGTATGATGTAAATCAAAATATAATTTATGATAACACTTAATTGAATAGATGTTGCTCTCTGTGTCCTAGAAATAGTAAAATTTTTCTTCATTTTTTTATTTTTTCAAAATCCTAAAACTGTGAATTTTTAGTGTTAGATGGGACAAAACTCCCAGACTTCAGTCACCTCACTGTAATCTAATTGCATTAGTGAGATGGTTCGTTTTGAGCAGTTTATGTGGCTCGAGTGCTCAGAGACGAGTATTTCCACCATGCAATCTCTTTCTTTCTTTCAATCCATCCCGTGCTGGACGTTCTGCATCCCCCATCTTCATGGCAAACCTAAGACCTCCGCAGGAGGAGTAAATGGGTGCTGTGTTGCTCTATTTGTGCTCTGTTCACAGGAGCGGCTGTTAGCTTTGAAGCGCAGCATGTCTTTTATGCAGGACATGGATTTCTCTCAGCAGGCTGCCATTTTGGGAGATGACCACATTACGCCTGAGGAACCGGTGACGGAGATCACACCAATCCACACGGAGTACCCCAAAAAGTCCAAAAAGCAGCCCGTCAAGGAGCCCATCATCAGGTAAAGCGCAGGCCGCTGTTCGCTTTTGATCGTGTCTCGTGTTTGTGAGTGTGTGATTGAGCAGATGTGTTGCTCGTCTAGTGATCTGTATGAGCAGGAGGGCAACGCCTGCAGTTTGACGGACAGCACGACGGAGGAGCATGTGTTGGCGCTGGTGGAGCACGCGGCGGATGAAGCACGGGATCGAATCATCCGTTTCGTGCCAAGCTCTAAGGTGCAGCCAAGCTTTGACCTGATGTTTCTGAGATTCAAGTTTTATAATTTTGAGTCATGCAATTCACCAGAAATCGACACTACAAAAAAAAAGAGAGACGTGTACAAGCAGAGCTTGCAAAAAGATCTATTGTAGTTTGTCAGATACTAAAGAATATCAAATATGAGAAGTTATTAACTCCTATTGTGTTTAAAAAACGCATATTATTATGTTCAGACTGAGCTTTGCTTAAAATAACGTCTTGAGACCACTAGTGAAAACGCTCCTCATTCATGTGCTTCTGTTTGATTAAATACAAAGTTTTTCATTGCGAATCATAAAATCAGGATGAAAGTCAACATGATTCAAGGACGTTCCAAAATGCATCTTTTGTTTATGAAAATAAGCAAGAACATCTGTCCTTTTCAGGATTCCCACCGTCGGAAAAATCATGGAATTAAAATTGTGATTGCAAAGCCTGGAAAAATTCTTAACATATAATGAAATCTTTAAAAGTGATGAAAATGTCTATTAAATATATTAAAATTATAATGTAATGTATAATAATATATTTTAAGATAATATGTGACCCTGGTCCACAAAAGCAGTCTTAAGTCACTGGGGTATATTTGTAGCAATATGATACATAAACCTCAATTTCAAAAAATTGACCCTTATGACTGCTTTTGTGCTCCAGGGTCACATATTGCATTGAATAAATCTTGCTCTTTTGTAATTTAGAAATATTAAAAGAGCTGAATCTTCAATATTTCTTCTTCATTTTCCTAATTGTAATTTTTTTTTTTAATCCTATATATATATATATATATATGTACTAATAAACAGCCAATATGTTAGTAATATGCATGCTAATTAATAGTGAGAATTGGTCCTTAAAATAAAGTGTTTCCAAATTAAACACTAAATAAGCAATCAGCAGATTTTCTACAGAAAAAAAAAGATTCTGTCTAGTCTGTATTATATATTTTTTTCAGGAGTTGTGTAATGTGGTAGACTGGTAGTACAAACAATGTTTATTGCAATATTACCAGTTTATTACCCCTAACCAGAACATTTGCTTTACTTTGCGTGTAGATGGGGTACCTCAAAAAGGACTCTGATGGTTCCCTCAACTACACTGTTGTAAATCAAGATCCTGAAGCAGAAGGTATGAGCATCACTCTGTTTCAGTGTCTACTGCTTTATATAGCAGACTATATATATATATGTGTGTGTGTGTGTGTGTGTGTGTGTGTGTGTGTGTATAGAAAGCTGAACCGGTAAACAATGAGGTGGTGATCTGCTGTGCAAATGCACTATTTTTAAATCACAATTATGTACAATGAATAAGAAATTTAACCCTGTTAAGCCTGACACATGAAATAAATAAAACATTTTGAAATAGAAGAGTTTATTAAACCTTTAGACAAAAAGTTTGAATATGTGTTATTTGTTGAGTATCATATTTGATCCGTCAGGCTTTTATGGCTCATTTGTGACCCTGGAGCACAAAACCAGTCATAAGTGTCAATTTTTCGTCAAATGCATCATCTGAAAGCTGAATAAATAAGCTCTCCATTGATGTATGGTTTGTTAGGATCGGACAATATTTGGTTGAGATACAACTATATGAAAATCTGGAATCTGAGGGTGCAAAAAAATCTAAATATTGAGAAAATCATCTTTAAAGTTGTCCAAATGAAGTTCTTAGCAATGCATATTACTAATCAAAAATTAAGTTTTGATATATTTACGGTAGGGAATTTACAAAATATCTTCATGGAACATGATTTTTGATTAATGATTTTTGGCATAAAAGAAAAATCAATAATTTTGACCCATACAATGTATTGTTGGCTATTGCTACAAATATACCCCAGCGACTTATGACTGCTTTTGTGCTCCAGGGTCACATATAGTCTGATATAGTGAGAATATGAAGTAAACATAAAATACAGCAATTTGGTGCAGATGCTGATATTTATATAATGAAATTCTGATGCTTGTAAATCAATGAGATCTTTATAAAAGTAGAGCAGATACTTACACATAAAATATATAAATATCAGTCATCGCTCTGTATTTCCAGTAATAAGATGAAATTGAAATTATCCAAATATACAGTATAATGCAATGCAATCCAATGATGATGAGAGATGAACAAACAAACGTTCCTCAAAAGATCCTGATGATCATATTTGATGATCATATATTTCATATTTTCTAAAAAAAAAAAAAAAGATCTGGAAATATGACTAACAATATCAAAGTTATTCTTGTGTTTACTTGATAAAAATCAGTAAAGCAGAAAGACACGTGAAGCTCGAGCTGAAGCTGGACGTTTGTAAAGTTAGACTAAAAGAGATTTTACTTGATAAAAAACTCTAAACTATTAATCAGACAACAAAGTTTGATCATGTTGATCATTTAGACGCCTTAGAAATCTGCCTATCAATTATGATACAGTAGCTTTTATAGGGTTAAATATAACACAGGTTTCTGACTTTGCTGCAGAAAGTTTATCCAGAGCAATAACATCATGTGTCTGAAGAATATATTGATTATTGTTCACAGAGGAAGAGACTCTTCCTGTAGATTTGAGCTCTTTGGCGAACAAGCTCATACCTGGACTGACGTCGCTGGGCTTTAAAGACGACAGGAGACACAAAGGTAACAGGTTTTCAAACGTGAAGATTATTTTTAGGGTTGTGAATCACATTACTGTCTCTAAAATGCCAGAAGAGTCAGGAATTAAATCAGAATCACAACCAGAATCTTTACGTTCGCGATTCGCGTCTTGGTCTTTGTCTTTGGTTTCAGTGACGTTCTTGAGCAGCGCGTACAACACTCAGACTCTTCAGAACAACTCCGTCTATCCTGATCTACTTCCAGAGGAGATGGACATGCTGTACTCGGCTTACGGAGACGAGACCGGGGTCCAGTGCGCTCTCAGGTGTTTAGATCAAACCTGTCTATCAGCGTTAGTGGACTGCTGCGTTGGACTCAGTTGTGTGATGGGATTTTCTGTGTGTGCTTCAGTCTGCAGGAGTTTGTTAAGGGTTCTGGGAGTTTTACCAAAAGGCTTGTGGATGATTTGCTGGATAAAATGACAGCTGGTGATCATTCGAAGGCTGTCATGCAAATCCGACAGGTATTAAAATTTTTTCTTTTGACAAGATACTTTTTGTGGTCTTTAAACATTCTTAGGATTTTAGCAATATACTATTCTGTTCAAGAGTGTGGGGTCAGTAATGCTTTGTATACTTTTATACAGCGACGACGCATTAAACTGATCAAAAGTGACAGTAAAAACATTTATAATCTTACAAACGATTTCTATCTCAAATAAACGCTGTTCTTTTGAACTTTCTATTCATCAAAGAATCCTGAAAAATAGCATATATCACAGTTCAAAAATATGATGCAGCACAGCTGTTTTCAACATTGATAATAATCAGAAATGTTTCTTGAGCAGCAAATCAGCATATTAGAATGATTTCTGAAGATCATGTGACACTGAAGACTGGAATAATGATGCTGAAAATTCAGCTTTGATCACAGAAATAAATTACAGTTTAACAGATATTCACATAGAAAACAGTTATTTTAAATTATAATAATATTTCACAATTTTTACTGTATTTTGATTAAATGAATGCAGCCTTGGTGAGACTTCATTAAAAGCATTTCAAAATCTTACCGACCCTAAACTTTTGAAAAGGAGTGTGAAATATTGTATTATATAATATATAATAAATGTTTTTGTTTTTCAGAAAAGGAACATGCCGATTGATGACACTAAGTCTAGTTTATGTGACATGCCGGTGAGAATGATATATCTTTTGTGCAATAAGTTTCAAAGTATGACATTGATGACATTTTCTCGATGTTTCTATAGGGAACAGATGGAAGCGGCATAGAAGCTGGTTCAGTGCTGGATTTCATGAGCATGAAGAGCTACCCAGACAATCCTCTAGATATGCTCAACACGTTACGTGAGTCCTATATCACGCGTTTAAACCTCCCGGCTGCACAGGCCTTTGCTCTAGCTGATCATTGGTGTTTTTCTGATCTGCAGGTAAATGTGTGAAGAAGGAGCCGGAGCATGAAGACGGTCATCAGCACTTTGATGACGCAGCCAAACTTCTGCAGGAGTTTCATGACGCAGCGGTGGACCGAGTCGGATCCCGACCGTCATCCAATCTTTCGTCCCTGTCAAACAATTCAGAGAGGGATCCGCACCATTTAGGTACTGAGTCATAGTTATAACGTTATACGTCACAGGCAAAATCGCACATTATTTCAGTTGTTTTGAGGCTTTCTAAAATTAAAACAAAATGAAAGAAAAGTCAAACAGGAAAGTGCCTAACCCTGTAAAGCATGACGTGCATGAAGCATATGAAATGATAGTCAGAAATATCTAATTATTTTAAATGGAACAGTGTATTGAACCTTTAGACAAAATATTTGTTTTAAATCCAAAAAAAAAAAAAGTTTGCATATGTTTTTTTTTGTTGAGTGTCATATTTGATCTGTCAGGCTTTTATGGATCATACAGTATGATATAGTAAGAATATGAAGTAAAAAAGAAAAAAAATGGCTCTTTATTTCAGAGACTCAAACTGAGCAAAAATATGCAATTTGGTGCAGATGCTGATATTTATATGATGAAATCTGATGCTTGTAATGTAAATCGGGTTTAAATCTTTTTATTAAGGTATTCAATTAAACAATCCAATAGTTATTGTTACATACCATTATTTCAGTTATATATATATATATATATATATATATATATATATATACATACATATACATAAAAAACTGAACATACAAGCACAACAAACATTTATGGTACAAAACAAAACAACCCCTTACCTCCCTCCGCACCCTAGGGACTTAAATCATGCCACACTAATGGTGCATGATTACTCAGCCTGCATTATCAAGATATAGGAGAAGAGGAGACCAAATCTTATCAAAGTTATCCAATTTATTTACCAACAGGAATCTAATTTTTTCCAAATGTAGTACCTTAATCATTTCTTCCAACCAAAGTTTAGCTGATGGGGCTTCTGTCATTTTCCAAAACCTTAGGATAAGTTTCTTTGCCACAATAAGTCCATAGGACAGCAACTGTTGTTGAGATGTTTTAAGTGAAATGATTTTATCAGAAATTCCAAATATCACAAGAAAGTGGTAGTTTTAAATACTTCAGTCCAGAATGAGATTAACATAGAACAAAAAAACATGACTATGCAAGGGAGTAGCTACATCAGTCTGACATTTGTCACAAAATGGGGAGACATCTGGAAAAAGTCTATGTAATTTTGTT